CGAGGTTTTTTATGGACAAAAATGCAGGTCACCTGTCAATTGGAGTGAAGTTGGAGAGAATTTAATTTTGGGACCAGAATTAGAACAGAAGACAAACAAGTCCATTAACTTAATCAGACAGAGAATGGAGACAGCCTAGAGTCATCAAAAAAAAAAAGTTATGCTGATTTTAGAAGAAAGAATTGAGCTTTGAGGTTGGAAACATTTGGTACAACTTTCAAACTTTCGAATAACTAAATCATTCAAACATTCAAAACAATCTTACATTCATTCATACTTTCAAAATTAGTATGGAATGTTGCATTATTTGGGTAGCCTACAGAACATATGTGATTACCCGTCGGTAACACCAATCAATCAGAAGCTTCTATCAGAGTTATCGAATTAATATCGACCAAAACAGAGTTACTTAAGTGTGAGGCCATGTGAGTGAATAACACACACATGAATCTTCATTTGCAAGGAATGCCAAACCACCAAAGTGTCTTCCCACAAATAAGCCAGAGCAGAGATCCACAAATTCCAAATTAGGCTACTACCCCAAATAAGCAAAACGTTCATCAAAACAAAATATGACATATCCGGATAGCCCTATGAAATCAATCAAAATCTCTTTCAAATAAAATGCAAAACAAATACTTACTTTCAATATTAAATTAATTCAAAACATTGAAATAATTTTAAACAAACTTTATCAATCCTCCAAAACATGATTTCAAATATTTCACAAATAAACAAAATATCAATTTCAAACCTTTAAATAAATTTAAACAAAACTTTATCAAATCATTTAAGAATACTTCAAATACTTTGCAAATAAACATAATTTCAATTGCAAAATTAGTTTTCAAATCCATAATAAAACTTCAATTTCATATGCAACATATCAATTTCCAATCTTCCTATCAAATCCAAAATACATTTTAGTTTTTGAAATATGACAAATCACTTACAAAACTTTTCGAAGGGATACGGTAAATTACTTATAATACTTATTCGAAGGGATATGACAAATTACTTACAATACTTTTTCGAAGGGATATGACAAATTACTTGCAATACTTTTCCAAAAGATATGGAAAATTACTTACAACACTTTTCGAACGGATATGACAAATTACTTACCTCTTTCAGAAATCCTACGAATGTGATTTACTTCTTCCTTGATAGTTGTCAACTTAGAGGCCTAGAAACAACCAATATCCAAAATCAATTCTTAAATCATATCCAGGGATTTAAAATTCAACCAATTACTAACCCAAATCTTATCTACCCAATTTTCTCATTCAAAACATTTTTTTATGCAAAATAATTAGGAAAGTATGGATTTGGGGCTACAAAACCAGATCTGAAAACTAGGTTAAAAAGCCTCTAAATTCAACCATAACAAATTTTAAAATTAGAAGAATCGATATAAATCAATACGAACTAAATTTACAAAAAGTTTCTCAATAAAACCAACTTAAAAACCTTCTAAACAATTGAAAATTTGGGGATTTTAAATCTGAAAAATTTTCTGTTTTATAAAATAAAACTTTCAAGAATTTTCCATAAAACAATTAACAATATATTGATTTTTATAGAAAAATCAGATCTGAAAACTTTATAGAAAACCTTTAAATTTTGGTAAAAACATATAATTTTTCATGTAAAAATCATAACAACAGACTATAATTTATAAGATACAAATAGGTAAACTTTTTATACAAAAAGAGTCTCAAAATAACCCAAAAACAGTCTCATAAACAAAAAGATTCAAACCAAAAATTCTGGAAAATTTTTAGGATGAAAAATCCTTAAAATCTTTTATTCTAAAAAACAAAGACCTCAAAACTTTTCCCAATAAACTGAATTAAAGAACTACAAATCAAGAAAAATAAAACTAAAACAATGAGAAGAAAATCTTACCGATCTTTGAGAGAAAATACCAAACTCTTCTTCCTTTCTTTTCTTTTTCTCTTTGAGAGAAAACTAGGTCTAACAGTTTAAGAAAATAAAACCTAGGGTTTAAGGGCTTTTATAACAAACCCTAATGAATCCTTATTTAAAAAGGATAATAAAAAGATAAAGATTTAATAAAACTGTTTTTTTTTATTTTTTTCAAATTCTAAGAACAAATTATCTTTCAAAAATAATTTCTAAACCAAAAAGATTTATCTTTGAGAAAATAAAAGAAAACAACTAAAAATAATAATAATTTAAATATATATATATTTATATTTTTTTTCGGTTGTTACAAACACCCCACCTAAAAAGAAATTTCGTCCTCGAAATTTACATATCTTGCTAAGCGAATACTCAGGATACTATCTATCATATCCTTTTCAGCTTCCCAATTAGCTTCTTCAGATGAATGATTCCTCCACAAAACTTTTCCAAGAGGAATAGTTTTATTGCATAAAACTCGATCCTTCTTGTCCAAAATTTGAATTGGAATCTCGTCATAGGTTAGGTTTTCTTTTACTTGGAGTGGTTCGTAGCTTAGCACATGTGAATACTTCCGAAGCATTGAAACATGGAAAGTATTGTGGATTCGATCTAAGGCAGGTGGTAAGGCCAAGCGATATGCTACAACACCCACCTTTTCTA